CAGCAGCAGCTGAAACCTCTTCCGGCAGCTGCCGGCGAGGCCAAAGGCCTTCCAGCACGCAGTAGTACATCAGCGCACACGTTTATGCTTTGGATCGCAGGGAGCGTTGCGTTCACCTTTACCCTTCTTTAATCTAATGGCAAAGAGCGAGATTCCACAGTTGGCTCACAGATGTACATTAAATAACAGCAATCACTTCACTCGCGCATCGACACGTCCCACATTCAGCCAAGAGCCACACGTTTGAAAGCTGTTCCCCCTCCCACACCAGCTTTTAGCAGAGCGGGTATTCATCACAGCAGCTTCAGCAGGGAGAGCTGGGGCTGCCTAGCTTGGGAGAAAAACGTTTAAGAGAATAACTGGATCGTGACGTCTGAAATTTGACTTCGCAATAGTCATCGCACCAAAAGATTTAAGAGCGTGGCCTTAAAAGACAAACTTGTGAAAGGTAACCAAGAACTAAGTTTCACCATGTAATTTCTGGGAGTCACATGGATGTAAAATTGATAGAGAAAATACTTTACTTCGGTTTGTCTGGCAAGCTACTAAACAGAATATATGCAACAGTGATAACAGTAAACCCTGCTAAGGTTACCTAGCATTTATTGTCAAGACCAGTTTCAGTTCATTATGACCATATCAAGCTCTAACCTTTCTTGACATGTTCGAAGCTACCTCTTACTGAACTATTGTTTTAGAGAGTAGAACTCTCTTCACAGATAAGAACGAAACAGCAGAAGCCAACTTTTTGCCAACTTTTAAAGAGTCTCATATGCAATTTTACTTAAAAACGATCACATCTACATTTTGCTGTAAATGCTTCAGATTTTTCAAAACATTTATGCTGGGCACCAAGCTTCTGTTCTTGTGCAAAAACTGCCCCTGCTTTGGCAATTGCAGGGCCTCAGGAAAAAAAAAAAAGGTAAATTGGAAATTACTGTATGCCTGTAATGACAGTTGCCAATGCATTTCATTGGTATTTGCAAACCTTTAGCTACTAACCTAAAATTGGCAACTTGCTCTCGAGCAGGAAGATCTGCTGTGCTTCAGGGTGAGCTTTCCAGCGTTGCTTCCTGAGGGTACCCACATAACAGCGCCACAAGAAATCTCCTACTGGCATTTCAGTAACTTTCTGGCATGCCGTTTCCTTGTCTTGCCAGGAACACCTCAGCAGCTCATCTGACCTGGAAAAGCAAGCTTAGGCCCCCCCCAACTCCGGCAATGACTCTGCTATAGGATCAAGAAACTGAATGTGAAAAACCACCCAAGAGGCCTGATAGAAACCAGGAGGAGGTATGTGAGCACAGGGGAGAGAGGGCCAAGGCAGGCGAGGTCGACGCCACGAGGCACAAGGTGGGTTCAAAGGGATCAGAAGAGCAGGACTGCGGGGAAGTGAAATGTGTGTGTGAAATATAGCAGGAGAGACAGAGGTGCAGAGGCAACAAAATCTCACTATAAGGGAACATAACATCTGGGAGACATTAGCTCATCTTTTGCTGCTCTAAGAAAATAGCTCGGATACAACAGCATGGCATAACTGTTCCCAATCTTTAAGACTACCATACCTTAAGGATAATTGCCAGCTACAGCTCATTTTAGCCCCGTCAGCTCAGGTTTATGTTTTGATGCAGAAGTTCAGACTTAAAGATCATGCAAATATAGGTACCAAAGACTTGCATCCTTTTTTTTTTCCTCCATTAAAACAAAAAGACAAAAAAAACAAAGTTGCAAGAACTACTTTATACTGTAAAAATCAATTATTTTAAATTAGGAAAAGCCCAAGGTAGTATTGCTTATGCACCCTTAAATCACTGTCCCTTAGCAAATGCATGATTGTAATCGATTTCAAAAAAATAAATACAGAAATTACAAACCAGTTTTTTTCCTATAGGCCCCTCTGCCTCATTCAGCATACGGGAAGGACCTGCTTAGAAGAGGGACTGTTGTCAGCAGGGCTCTTGTCCACAGAATTTCTTGTGCAATTCACTGAGAAAGTTAGGAGTTGTAGGTAAATCCAGAAGCTAAAGGAGTGGTGGTGGTGGTGAAACTTGGTTCCCTTTTTGAAGAAATCTAAATAAGGAATACGAGACACACTCGGGACATTGAGATTTTATGCCTGCAGCTCCACTTCCCAGACACCACACAGTAACTCTGTAGCAAGGTCAACTTTTCAGTTGCCAAATCATGGTATGTTTCCCACTTTATGAATGAGCAGCAATGCAGGAGAAGTGCATCTTTTGTTCACTTAGCCAAATCTATTTTTTCTATATTAATGGTATAACTAATTATTCATCAATGGAATTTAAATAGCACTGACCTAATCTTTCCATTCTCTTCAGCAGACTTTGCTCTTTGTTGTCCAGAGTTAGGAATCTGCAGACCAACAGCAGCCATCATTTCAGAGTAATGTTTTCCTTCTCACGTTTATCTTAACTGATTTTGATTTGTACTGGGAAAAAAAAAAAGTATTCGTCCATAGATGGATGGATGGATGGATACCATGCAAGTATACACAATCCACCTAAAGTTACCTAAGCCCCGGTATCCTTAACTCACTGCTACCTAAAAAGGCTGTGATAATCCAAGTCAGTATTATGTTGAAAATTTCCCACTTCATCTAATACTTGGTTACTCAGAGGCTTTCATGATATTTAGATAACCAAGGTAAAACTATGCAAGAAATACACAGAATCTGACATTCACACCAAAATCATTTTCCCAGGGCTTGGAAAAGCACCCGCAAAAGAGCAATGCTAGCATGGCTTCACAACGATGGTTTCTGGTTAAATTGTACCTCCATTGACCCAGTTTTCTCACAACACCAAAGCTATGATCTTTTTACTCTGCCACAATGACATTCAACTTTCATTTTAAGAGAGCGTCAACCAAAAGAAATCAGTTATTTGCGTTTGTACAATCTTAGACATTAGAGTGGCACTACAAGTGAATATATATTTACCATAAGCTGAAATTCATGTGTATTTAGGTTGTGAAGGTTTTTAATTTATGTTAATACACCTACATTTTAAGTAACATTGATCACTGTAAGCCTTTTATTTTATAAGCAGATTTCCAGAGCAAAAGGTTGGTTATTTTTTGATAGTCATATCCAGTTCTGTTCCGGGTAGTTTATTTCCTTCCCTCAGATTTTTTGCCCCAGGGCAGCAGAACAAAATTGGAAGTCAGTATTCTTAGATTCTGTTCCCTTCACCTGCCTGCGCTAAGTAAAACTGGCTATAGCTGCTAAAGAATATAGGTGAAATTCTTTAAGAGCTGCTGTAGGCTCCTAAAAAGTCACATTGAACAAGGAGTAAACGTGTACAATTCTGTTTTCAAATAGATTTCCTTTCCCTGATCTCTCTTCCTCCTCCTCCAGGAGGAGAGGAGAATAACAGTCTGTACCTTCCTCAGGAGTTTAAGGTTTATGAAAGCATTTTTTCAGGGCTCAAGTGAAAAGCTTGCAAGATACAAAAGTGAGAATAGGCTGAGGCTGCTCCCCCCTCCATCCTACTAGAAAACTTTTATAACTGGACTTGTTTAGAAAATAGCTGCTTGCTGAGACACAACTGGAAGTCATGAGTCATCTTCTATTCCCACCTGTAAGAGAGCTCTCTGCAGGCTAGTCTCTCAAAACCAGCTTTTCGCTTCAGCCCTCCGCCCTCCCTGCGGGCGCTTGCCTGGTGGTGTCTTGCAGAACTACTGAAGAAACTAGGACCGGCCACCTACAATACAAACAATATTAAACGTGAAAGCAGTAAAAACAGACGGGAAGGGAAGGTACACATTATGTTACTTACTCGCTAAGGGAAGAGTTCAACTACAAAGCCTTCAAAAAGTCTCAGCTGTTTTCACACACAATTTATAACTACTAATGAAGCCCACCGCTGGAGGGGGGGAGGAGGAAGTCACTTCTTTCAGTTCCCAACAAAACAGTACAAGGTGAAACTTTCTTACATGCTACACGGCTGAAGAATTCCACATTCACCGAAAAGAGCAGAACAAAGTCAGCTAAGAGCGCCGCAGTGAAACGTGGTGAGCGATAAGGGAACCTAATCGCTCAGTTTACATCAAGGGCTTGTAAACACAAATGATACACAAACCCTACCGTTTGTTTTGTTACCTTATAAGCCTGTGCTACTGTACAGTACTACCAGAATCTTTTAACATTGTTTTATCTGGTTTACTCATGTCATTTATTCTGATATCAAAATGCCCCTTTCATCTTTTTCTCCGCATATACACATGGGGGAGAAGGGAAAAAACAAATAAGGAAATACAGTGCTTTTCTTCTTAACCTTATGTATCTCAAGATAAAAAAGATCAGCATTTCCTATGTTACACACATAGAAACGGCCTCACCTCAGATGCCGGGGACATTACTCTGCTAACTCTTTAAGGGAATTAAAGCATAGCCTATAAATGTTACTAGGCACCTTATACAGCTATACATACTAAAAGACTTATGAAATAAATGCCATCAATATGCATAATTTGCACAAGTGACTCTACACACAACAATTAAAACAAATAGCTTAATTTGTGAAAGTTGTTGAAAGCTAATCCATCCCCACAACCAGGATAGCGCAGACGAAGCAACAGTAACAACAAGCAACTTAAGACTACTTTCCACACAAATAAACTACCACTACTGCACCTATCAGGCAGAGTACTGCTGCATTATAGCATGACAAAGATGCACACATTAACTACAGTTTGTATGTTTTTCTTATTTATTCAAAAGCTAGGGGATGACAAAAAAGGGTTAAAATGTTTTATGCCACCTATTTTTTTTTTTACATGAACAAATACTTAATCTATGAAAGAGACTCATTTTACAAGTCCCCCTGTCCAAAAACCACACTCAAATTAGTTTTTATACACAAATGTTTATTTCTCAAATAAACAGCCCCTTTAAACACAAGGAATGAAATCTAAATCTTCATAAAGATGAATCCAAAATGAAATCCCTCCAGTACATTGTAATCACTGTGTTCTTGGTCACTACTGGCTTTAACTGTTTAACATCAAAAAACAAGGACATATTTAAAAAATCATGCTACTGGATTTCTAGCGCTGCCTCTGCCCAGCTCTATACCATTCTCCAATACTTTAAAATTTTACATCAAATCTGAAGCAAGTTTAATTGTAGAACAGCTGTGCATTAAACACAAACAACTGAACGAGAAGATTATAAGATGTAGTCAAGTTCGTAACGAATGTAGGTGTTCTTTTCATCATTATAGATTCTCGGATAATGTGCTATCAGAGCGTCCTGGGAGCCAATATAGATTGAATTATAAATCTTCCAATAAACATCTCTGACTTTGCGGGCAGGGTGAAACAAACCCTAGAAAACAAAACAAAACAATTTTATTAAAAACTTAAGTTCCAAATGCCTGTTATAGAGTTTAACCTAGTTTTGCACAACACACATTAAAGAAAAAAGTAATTACAAAAATTAGCATCACTGTTAACAAAGAAGATACGCTGAATGGGTCATTCCCAATTTTGTGACCATCTAAACTAGCAAGTAATAACAAATTGTTGTTTAAAGACAATTTCCTTATTTTTTCTGCTGGGTGAAATTCCACTGAATATACTTCTAGTTCTGTACTGTCTTTTTAAAATAAAATTTGAAACCTGATGCAGTATATTTGGTAGGGAATGAGTCCTATCTTTGACTCTGCTAATTCTGATTTAATTCTGTAGCGAGCACTAGATAGAAATACAGGGGATGAATGATTATACCTAAAAAAAAAAAAAAAAAACCACCAACAGAATAGGAAAGCTCTAGAAGAACACAGTTTTATTCACTCTTTTAATTTAAAAAATGCAAATAAAAACTGCAAAAAATGCACTGTGCACGAGATTGCTTATATACCTTTCACCTTCCTACTTCTAACTACCAACATTTTTGTGCTGAGGCCCCCCACTTAAAATACATACACGCAAATTCCATACCTGCACGTAACTAGTAAAACACAGTCAAGTCTTCTCTACATTGATCTGCATTATGTTCATCCTTGCTTCCCACCTGTTTTGTGTGTTTAGCTTCT